TCTTACGATCCCAGTGGCAATATTTTCACTAATTATTTCGAATAATAATATTCTCATTCACGTTTGAATCTTTACCTTGTAAAGAGTATATAAAAAAAGTTTAATAATTGTCACCGGTTAAATTGCGATCATTAATTTCGTTTTCGGTCGATTCATTATTTTGCAAGAGCTATCTCTGAGATGGAATACACAATATAAGGCTTATAACTGTATCTGTATTATCTCTCTATAATCTCTAATTTTTATCAAAGAGTCTAACGTCAAGAAAAAAATTAAGAAATTATGTTGAGCAAAAAATATTTTGTTTTATTTATCCTCTTATTAATTTCAATTATTCTGTGTGTGTGTGTGTGTGTGTGTGTGTGTGTGTGTGTGTGTGTGTGTGTGTGTGTGTGTGTGTGTGTGTGTGTGTGTGTGTGTGTGTGTGTGTGTGTGTGTGTGTGTGTATTATCCGTTACAATAGTGATAATTAGAAGCATTGCACATTTCATTGGATAAAGTAGGCATATAATTATATCGGCAAGTCCCGCATTATCGGTCCTGCATTACCGGCCACGCGCGCCTAACGGGCAGGTGACCCATCGTACTGATCTGTATGTTGACGCAACACCCTGTACATTGCGAAATTGAAGGTATTGTGAGATTATTTCTCTCTTTTTGTATTGCTGTAAGATAAGCCGCGGATAGCTGCTCTGCTGTCCAGTACGAAGCAACTTATCCCACAGTACAGGTGACCGAACGTGAATAATGAACACTAATGAGAACACTCAACAATTATTTATTATACCGTACAGTTCCTCTTTGCTCCTCAGGCTTAGTCCGACAAAGTCATACAATGGAAGTCTCTACTAACGCGTACACACTTGCACGTGCTCGACTCGTGCTTCACGAATGTACTAATAATAAATGTAATAAGACCGCACCTCTGATCGTTATTACTCTAATGTCCCAACGAGACTATATCTGACTAGATACGCGAACGGATTCCGTATCCACAGCGTTAATTCGCCTTTAACTAAATTGGTTTATCACCTGACCTTAACCGGCCCACAAAACCGGAGCTCTTAGCTCTCTTCGCTACTCGCAAGACTCTCCTCGATCTTCTCCTCTCGCCTTCGTCTCTAGCTACCTATTTAAAGTATCGGCGCGAAGGAGAGGGAACCTCAGTTCTCGCCACGACATGAAGCTTTACTCTAACGTTGTTAGATGTCGCTACATATTCTAATTTCTTACAGTATGTAATGTATAGTCTTATATCCCAGCAAACATCAAATAACATATTCTGGTATATCATTGACGTTAAAGACGTTATTAGTGCGTCATTAAAACATCACTTGACATCATCGTGTTAACTGAGACCATATTAACCTCCCAGTAAGCAATTTGACAACAGCTTAGTGACAGATTCGAGCAGGATCTGTCGACAGATCCATAGTCATCTATGTCCGCAATCTGCTGCTATTTTGTCGACAGAACCTGGTGGCAGAATATAGTATAATAGTAGATTGATAGCAGAAAACGAGCAGAATCTGCAGCATGTCCCATTTAAATATATTGAAACGACAAACTCTGCTTGATTTCTGCTGGTTCTGTCAGTCTATCATCATATTCTGCTATCAGATCCGGCAGGATTCCTGCTGGATTTCTGCTACCAAACTTGTTGACAGAATCTATAGCAAATCCTGTGCAAAATCTGTTTTCACAGGTTTGGCTATCTGGGCTATCTGGCTATATTAATATCAACGGAAAGTAACATACAATTATATTAACGTTATTTCTCATACAGCAATATAACTATTATATACAACATATATTATATTTACATTGCTGAGAGAGAAATAATAACAATAATGTAATGTTACTTTTTGTTGGTGCATCAACGAACATGTTTACATGTTTACTGCGAATTAATTATAATAAAATATATAATATAATGAAATTGTATGGGAATATATCTTTTTGTACTTATTTATGTATTTATGTATTATTTTATGTATTTATTTGTTTAGATGGGAGACGATTCAAAATAAAAAGTGATGAAGTAGACCTGTCTGATACCTTACAGTTTAATGTGGATGGAACAGATGTTATTATTAATTTACCTAAAGCAAGCAATGAAACAGATCATATGAATGAAATAGATCAGACTATACATATATCAAATAAAGAAAATGTAGAAAATGAAGATCCGATAGAAAAAGTTAACTTTACATGGAATGATGTAACAACAAAATTGTTTTTAGAAATATATAAACGTAAAAAAAAACCTCGTAAACACAAGAAAAATCAAAACTTTTAAAATTTTATGGAAAAATATAGCAGAGGATATGGGGCGTAAAGGTTATTCTGTAATTCCTTTGCAAATTGAAAACAAATTGAAGTCTTTATTACGCTCATATAAAAACTTAATGAGCAATAATAAGAAAACTCGCCGTGAAAGAAAAACGTGTAATTTTGAAGCGTAAGTAACTCCTAATATTTTATGTTATATAAATAATCTAAAGCAATGCATAATAAGACTATTTTTCACATTACAGTGAATTAACTGATATGTTCGGAAAAAAACATAATATAGCACCACTGGCGTTATCAGGTAGAACTGGCTTGTTGCTTAGAGAACCGCAGTTTTCTGATGCACAAAATGATATATAAATATCATAAAATATTTATAAATGAACTATACATAGTTATATGTTTTAAATGAAACATTTTATAACACAGATTGTACAACTCGATAAATAATAATGAAGAACCTACTAATACGGTATTAGAAATATCAGCAGTATAACCGGAGCTAGAAACTTCAAATGATATTCCATATATTATAAATGAAAAGAGATCTTCACAAAAAACGAAATGTAAAATTGGTTCAACAGCAGAATATTTAAAGAAATGCCAACTCGCTTTGGATACATATATCTCAGAAATAAGATCTGAAAGACAAAATAACGAAAACATTCAATTACAAATACTTGAAGAATATAAAAATATAAGAAAAATTCAAGAAGATTTTGTTAAATGTGCAAAAGAACAGTGGGCTATAAATAATGCACGACAAGTTGAAAGAAATAGAATTCTAACAGAAATTGCAAGTAATTTTTACAACGAAAACTGTTAAGGTTTCTTAAAGATTGTTGAAATATTATACGATTAAATATTTATTTTTTTGTATACCATATTTAATGATTCCATACAGAGATAATGGACATTTAACCCGAGCGCAAAGAAATTTCAATCAACGCTTAAGTTCATGTCGAGTAGTAGTGAAAAATGCATTCGGTTGTTTGAAACAGAGATTCAGGCAACTATATCATTTAAAATTACGAAATTTAAAATTACGAAACATTATACGCATGGTACAAGTTATACATGCAAGTTATACAAGTATAATCTTCTTTGTATTAAAAAGTATAATTATACTTATAAGTATACTAATTTCGTTACTTCGAACAAAAAATATTTTGTTTCTTTATATTATATGTTACTCGTCTATAAATTATTTTTTTGTTTTTCTTAAAGTCGCAATGTTTCGTTTGCTCACAGTTTTAAGTAAAGTAATTATTTTAAGTATTTTCTTTTTCTTAAAGCATTAATGTTCCATTTGCTCAGAGTTTTAAATAAATTAATTATTTTAAGTATTTTTGTTGATTAATATAAGTAATAATTTATGATCATATACGCATAAGTGTACACGCATTAAAGACTGAATAAAAAATTTATTCAATATCTTATGTAAGTGTCACAATGTCAAATAAATTTACATAAAATATAAACTGTTTTTTTATTTGAAAAACGCATACTGTTACATTTATTAAATAACTTTCTTACATTAAAAAAAAACTTATTATTTTTATAGTAAATCCAATACAATTAATGTATTTCTTTATAATTAATGTATTAATAGCTGACGACATAATTCATCTCGTAAGTTGCGACCAAGATGATTATCGGGAATTATATCATTGTAATTAACATTACACAGGTCTACAAAAAAAAATTTTCAAAAATTTACTCGGACCGGAGTAGGTTTCCGGTATGTATTTTGAGCCCCTGAATCCGAATCCAGGTCCCGTTTTGCAACATCACCCTAGGTTTTTTCAAAAATGGCGGATTCAATATGGCGCATGTAGCGTATTTTACTGTTTTCCAACGGATCATTTTAAAACTTCTAACATAAAGGTTTTTGGACTCACTGATTACGAAATTAACATTAGAATTCCGAAATTCAAGATGGCGGATGCAATATGGCGGACCATAATAGTAAATTCTGATTTTTTAAGAGATCGTCTTGGAACTTCAACCGTGGGATTTTCGGAAAACAATAAAACGCAAGTGAGAGGATTCTATCGATAAGAAAACACATGAATCCACTAGAGTCATAAAGGAAAGAGTTCTTTAATTTCAAATTTACGGAACTTCAATATTTTGAAATGGATTTTGCGTTACCCATCCTGAACCACGTGGAGGTACCATTTCTATCAGGACTAACCCGCTTATAACGGGGGCA